TCACATCTTCAGGATGCATCTCGAAGTAGGAATCTTGGACTTCTTGTAGGAACTTATCGAGGCCTGAGCGAACAGCTTCATCTGAGTAGCTACACTTGGCTGACATGTTTGCATTGTCTAAGCATTTTTTCATTTTAGATTGCACCAGCAATACTATTCCAACCAGGAAAAGAATTGTACCCAAGAAGAACAAGACACCTACAACAACCCAAAGAGGTTTGGTCTTTGGTACCTTCATATTTGTCAGTAAATGAGCCAAACGTGATTTGACTTCAATCAGTAATGAAACCAGCGTGAACCTACCTATGATTTATTAAGCTGTTATTGAAAAATGCAAATACCCTAAGCATGTTCAATAAAGCGAGGATTTTTATAACTAACTACGTCGTGTTTATAATCGATAAATCAAACCAGGAGTTGAGTATGCCGGGAATGATCTCATCTCACACTCCTTAAGGACTTTTATGCAATCTCATGGTAAATTCAAATTCCATATAAATTTATAAAATTTATGAAATTGACATTCTATAATTATTTACATAATAATGAATTTAAGTTAAAATAAAACATGTCACCTTCATCGATCCGGCAAGATGACACCCGACATCATGGAGCCAAAAAGCTTTTTTTGGAGTAGTGAATTTTAAGATGGTTCCGTATTAATGTTTGCATAACATTTATGTTGCTAAGTTATTTAACTACAAAGTAACTGCAATAAATACGCAGTGTCGTCTGAACATGCATTTTTTTATTGCGTGATTTGATTGCACCCGCAATACAATCCCAAAACGAGTAATTATTTGGCCGGCAGAAACGTTGTTGTTTAATGACAATGAGTTACATACAAAGTATTACAAGCTGATGTTTGTTCACAGGGACCTCAATCTTTGATTCTATTTGCCTTTTCATCTTATTCCGATTCCATTTATATTTCTTCCGGCGGAAGTTAAACATCTGCTTTGAGTGTCTATCAAATCCGCACTCCGATTTCCGGTAGACTGAAGCGGATCCAACAAAGACATTGATGTAAAAAAAAACTCATGTTGACTTAGTAAATCCATAGTAACCCCACCATTAAATAGTTACAATAATATTCTTTCCTATTAGCATTTATTATCTTTATTTTATAGCAATAAAAAGAGCAAACGTTTTATCGGAATGGCGGTCATATATGTCATGTATCATTTGGCGGTGATTGACTCAAGTAGATCGTAACATGAGATATCGGTAATTGTCCAACGTTACAACGTATCTAGAGCTGCTATTCGCTGCATGTGGGAGCGTGGCTCGTAGTTTTCTATAATCCGCGTGTAGCATCTCAAAGTCTTGTAATACTTAAGACTGGTTACCGTTGAGCTTCAAGGAATCGTTGCTGTTCCTCGACCAACAAGACTGACTCAAACTAAAGATGAGTGCGACAAAGTACAAGCTTGATATCAGCGAAGCAGAAGTTAAGTCGGCAAGTCCTACTAAGGTAGTGTTGTATGTTTTGTTTGGGATTGGAATTATTCTGATTATTGTTGGGTTAGCGCTTATCATCGTTGGCGCTGTAAAGAAGAGCAAAGAATGTGATTCAAGTAACTTACCATCAACGTCGGTGCCTCCAACCACACCAGCACCCACGCCAGTAAGTCAAGCTAACTTCTCCTCTGAAGCACTAAGAGTTGGATTTCACAAGTTCTTGGAAGAAGTTAAAACGACTTATTACAAGTCGAATCCAAACTCGATCGTTTACAACCCAGATGCAACACCCGTTCTTATCAAAGAGGTATTTTCTCCTTATAAATGTCACCCCAAGGACATCAAGAACCGCACCGATACAGCCAGGGAGCTGTACGGCAGAACCATTAAGATATCTCAAATGGTGGATCCTGCGAAACTCTTTCCTCGCGAGGCTAAAGCCCTCGAGCAGTTGAAACATTTCCTGCAAAGCAACTTTGGAGCTCCGTATGATGAGAATTACTACGCTGGTGATTGGCTTCTGGGCCCTAACTTGTTTTGCTGGCAACCAATTTGCGCCGTTGGCAATGACATTAAATCTCACTTCACTTACAAGTCCAAAGGCTTCAGACCAAAAACCGTCGATGATGTTGAGTTTGTCATAAATCATTTGAAGCAGCTGAACGACTCATTGACACAGTATGTTGAAAACTTGAAGTATGGAATCAAAGCAGGGTATATTAGATCTATCGAAGAATGTAAGGCAGGATTAGGAACCATGAAAAGAAGATTCTTAACAGTAGCACTTCATGGAAAACAAGGTAAGACGATGAATTCTAATGGAGTTCCGCTTTTATTTAGTCAAATATCAAAAAATTAAGTAACCGTTTTGAGTTTGTATGAGGTGGGCTGCTTCATGACTGTCCGAGCCGTGTTCGGGCGTATTTTAAACGAATTGATTGACAGCTTTCATAACTTTTCATCAAATAAAGTTTTAGATTTAGATGGTCATCTGAGGACATTTGCATACCGAACGAATCAGATTTAGCTGGAATCCTATGTCTAAATAAACTACCCATGTTATTGTCGTTCTACTCTAACCGTGGCGGAACACTCGAGTTTTCAAGGTTAGAGGAGAACGACAGGAAATAAGTGTTATATTCAACTGACCTTTAATAGAATTGATTAGGTTATTGATATGCCACAACTACCAGAATCTCCCGCTTCCCCTTGCTCACTTCATTATTTTCCGCGGGTATTTTGTGCAGCAACATTTAGCAACATTTACATTAATATAACATTTACATTAATAGTTTTTTTGAACTAGAATGGAAAATTCGAAATACTAGCTTCTAGCTAGTAGTCAGTATTAGTAAAAAATGAATTTTTGTCTTCAAATAAAGCCATAAACTTTTTTTGGGTTCGTGATATCATAAAATTGGGATTTCAGAGATTTAGAGTAAAAAGGTGATGATTTTTTTTAAGAATAACTAATTATTAATTAATTTATAACTTGTTACTACATAATTAGTTCATAAAACACTTAATATTATTATTATTATTACTATTATTATTATTATTATTATTATTATTATTA